CCGCCGCAAAATGCAAACTAGTCACGACTAGTTCGCCTGCTGGTGAACTAGGAGCCTCTCTACTATGCCCGGCTTAGTTCGCCTGCTGGCAAACTAAGCCAAGCCGGCTTAGTTCGCCAGCAGGCGAACTACTGACTTTGCCCCACATGTTCTTATCGCCTAGTTCGCCATATGGCGACCTGGCCAAGCTGAACTAGCTCGCCGTACGTCGAGCCGACCATCACGAGCCTCGATCTCCCACATCCTTGATTCAAGGCATACGTCCTTCGACACGATCGTATTCCGAATCACGGTCGAAATGTCTCCCGTTTCGTCTTGATCCGTCCTATCGTTCGAGTTTTACGATAAAAACCGTAAAACTTTGTTTTCTCAAAAAGAACTCGAGGAAATCATATAAGACAGCAACGGTTAAACGAAACACCGAATATTGCCTAAACTATAAGATTTATTCGAGATTTTTCGTAAAAATCGTACAAAACGCGTTTTTAATAAAACCCCGAGTAAATCGTAGAAAACGGCAACGATTAATCGAAACATCGAACATTGCTTAGCTTTACGATTAACTCGAGAAACTTATCTAAAAACGGCATCGTATCAGGAAACTATCTCGTCTAAAGTCGTAAAACAGATTTATCGCAAAACGGCTCGGAAAGTCATAAAACGCGATAAAAGCCACTCGCGACTTTAAACGAAGTCCAACCCGAAGATACGACGACGTTTTGGCGATTTACTCGCAGAAAGAAGATAAATGTCAAACTTGAAGATAAATGTCAAGTTTGAGGATAAATAGAAGATTTCCGCGGGAAAAAAGGAAAGATCGAGATAANAAACGGCTCGGAAAGTCATAAAACGCGATAAAAGCCACTCGCGACTTTAAACGAAGTCCAACCCGAAGATACGACGACGTTTTGGCGATTTACTCGCAGAAAGAAGATAAATGTCAAACTTGAAGATAAATGTCAAGTTTGAGGATAAATAGAAGATTTCCGCGGGAAAAAAGGAAAGATCGAGATAAATGGAAGATTCTCATTAAACTCGAATCTGGGCGAAATGGAAAGACTAAACCGCCTAGGAAGGGAGTATATAAGAAAGAGGCATAAGGCATAAGCAAAGGGACGAAAATCAGAGCTCTCATCTGAGACTTTTACAACTTTTCTAGACTTAGAATTTTCCGCACTTAGAAACTTAGGCTTTTTCTCGACAAGTTCGGTTTCTATGACTGGCGCTAAATTACTAGACGAACTCGCCCAGGCAGTTCGATCTCTGGTCCAGCTCTACCAACTGAACTACGTTCGACTTGATCCTCGAAAATGGTACGTAGGCAGCCTTTCATAAGGTTCAGTCCGAAATCAATCAAACCTTTTTTCCTATCTTTTCCGTCTTTCGTTATCGAGCTGCGACTCGACTAAATCTAGGGTTTTATTTTTGTAACTCGCTGAAGGCCCCTGCGGCCAAAGCCTTTGTAATTCATTGTAATGATCGCAACGCTCTTACGCGAATCAGAAATAACATCAACTTTCTTTATAAATTCGTTTTATTGCGTTTTTCATATTTTTCAGCATTTATTTGGTTACTTGTCGTTGGCTTTCGCAGAGATCCGGTTCCTCTGAGAAATTAGGGTTTTCCTAAGTTCCCTTATTTAACAGAAATCAACAAGTGTGAATCTCGGTTCCCACAATTATCTTTTTTGTAACAAAAAATTTCTTTGTGTTTTAGGTTTTTGATGATTATATTACAATAATTATGACAAAAAGTATCTCCCATTGTAATTAGATTGGGGATCTTGATTATGTTTAACGCAAAAAGAAATCTGCTCGGTTAAAATACAAGTTCCATTTTATTGTTAAACTAATTGTCAGTTTAATGATTGCAACTTCTTTGATTTTTTTTTCTCGAACCAAGCTATATGATTAATTTTGTTTCCAAGATTCTTTTTTTTTTTGTTATGAGAAAAGAAAATAAATTTTGTAATTAGTTAACAGAGTAAGGAATTTTTTTTTAATTCATATAACAAAACAATTTCTAGAAATGAAAAAAAAAATTGCAAAATATTTTTAACAGTAATAAAATGTGAGAAAACAACCCAACTTATCTATGAAATAAATATCAGTCCCACCTTTTACAACAACATTACATGTCCACCACCATAGCTTAAAGTAGCGAACATGTAATTTTGGTTCAGCATGGACAACTATGCTATTACGGATACATACGAAAGAAAGCACCTCCAACAAAATATCAATTATGCAAACTTTATTTGACAGAATTATGGATCAAATCTAAATAATGTACATGGATTCAGATGTTAAGACATAACATAGTGAATGAAATGTAAAATAAATATATAGTAGCTTAAGCAATAACTAACCCAGTAACTACAACATATAGAAAGAAAATAAGAGTAACTAAACATTAAAACAACACAGACATATGGCGCCAAGCATCATAATTTTGGTAACACGTTGACATTTATCTATAGTAATAGGAAAATACTCTACCATAATCCTTTTATCAAAATGGAAGTAGAAATTAAATATTTGCACAGTTTGGATGAACTCAGTAAAATAGAATAACCACAAAAATACATAGGTGAAACATGATCGTACATCACTTAAAAGTAAAAAAAAAAGCTTTCTAGCACAGATCAAAACTAAGAACTGCTCTCTTTCAAACCATTTAAGTACCATATTGTAAATTTACCTAAATGCAACGACTCTAAGAGCCAATCTGCTTACATTCTACACAAAGTGATCCCATGAAATTTATGATTCACATATATACATAAAAATAGAACTAAAAAATAAAAAACAAATATCAGCGAAATAACTAACGAATATAACAAAAAGGTTAACTATAAATAAAATTAGGATCTTAAAATTCTATTCATTATTTTGTTTATAAAATCATTTTCAATCTACACTAATTTTTAAATGTTTCATAAATATATATATATATATATATATATATATATATATATATAATAGTGGGATTACTGTTCATAGCAGTTCTTTGGTTTTACTCACAAATTCTGACTGCAAGCAGTCCAAAAATATAATATTAATTAAAAAGACAGATCAAAATTTAACTTGCATAAACTCTTGAATAGAAAAACAGATGGTGGTTCCTACACTTACGTGTGTCACCCACTTTTTGCCTGCTCCCCAATCAAAACCTTAAGTTGACTATCTTGTGTTCCAGAAAACAAGTTGAATTCCAGAACAATACCTAATGTTTAAGATATGAATGTTTTTATGTTGGGACGAGTTTGATTGCAGTGTCACACAATGTCACTCTTCCAAATTATGGCTAGTGTAGTTAACTCAGTTTCAGAACCAACTCTTGCAATGTAAATAAAGTGTATGAATATAGAAATATATTATTTCAAGAAAAATAAATAGCAAAAATTAAGATGAGGTATAACACTTTCAGAATGTGTGTTTATTAATCTAGTTTACTAGATATCATAACTGTTTTATCCGAAAATGGTATTTGGATTTATACACCAAGATTTTTAATGTGAGCTTAGGAGAAGTCTTCATAATGAGATTAAGTTGAGAAAAGAGATTATATAAATTAAAGATTTAATTATAAAGATGATGTTATCTTGATGTAAATCTAAGAATCTATAAAAGTCTTTATAGTATTTTTGGTGTAAGAAGAAAGAGTCCCCCATTTGACAAAGAGGAGGTGTCTCCTTATTTATACAAGGATCTAGGGTTCACTAGTGAGATGAGCCTTTGTTCATTGTCTAATGGGCATTTGTTGAAAGTGAAAACCCACTCCAACAGTAACCCCCCCCCCCCCCCCCCCCCCCCCGCGCAGCTCGTTGAGAGAAATGCAACTGATCTCTGCGAATTTCACGAAAAGGGTTTATGAGACAATGAACTCAACCCATAATCATGTCATGGACGAGTTGTTATGGACGGATTGTCATGGTTAGGTTTTCATGACAATGTCTATGACGAACTGTTTCGGACAAGCTGTCGTGGACGTCTTCGGATTCCAATCGGGCTTACGGGATGTTGCGCAAATGAGCTCTATGGAGAGTGATTTAAACCACCCGAATGAGCCACCATGGATGAAGTGTCAATAGACTAGCTGCCAAAGGCAAGTTGCCATAGACATCATCATGGATGAACCGCCATGGACAAACCGTCATAATCAAACCGTCATGAAATGGACTTTGCCGAGTTGAATCCTAACAAGGACAAACTTGACGTCGCCGAGAAGGATCCTGACGAGAACATTCTGGAAAATGCCGAACTGGACCTTGCCGAGGACGAACTGGAAGGTGCCGAACTGGACCCTGCCGAGGGCGAACTGGACCTCGCCTAGTTGTATCCTGCCGAATTGGATCCTGTCAAATTGGATCATGATGAGGATGGCCTGAAAAATCTGACATGCCTATTATACCCAGATTCAATCATTTGTGACAGATACATCTCCGTAGATCCCTACAGACGGCGCCAAATGTTTTATCCGAAAATGGTGTTTGGATTTATACATCAAGATTTTTAATGTGGGCTTAGGAGAAGTCTTCATAATGAGATTAAATTGAGAAAAAGGAGAAAAGAGATTATATAGATTAAAGATTTGATTACAAAGATGATGTTATCTTGATGTAAATCTAAGAATCTATAAAAGTTTCTCTCTAAAAGTGTTTTTTGGTGTAAGAAGAAAGAGTCCCCCCTTTGACAAAGAGGAGGTGTCTCCTTATTTATATAAGGATGTGTCTAGGGTTCCTAGTGAAATGGGCCTTTGTTCATTTTCTAAAGGTCTTTGTTGGGGGTGAAAATCCATTCCAACAATAACTGAGAAACATGTTCTCAAACTAAAGTTTTAATATGTACAAACATACAATTATTGCATAGTAATGAACTTTAACAGGGTCAAATGATCAGTGACCCATTTGAAGGAAAATTTATTGGAAGTGTTACTGTTTTCAAACATGTTTATTTGTTTCACTTTAAGTTGAAACATATATTACTAAAGAAGTTTCATCAGAGACCCGCACTTGGATCACCGGAGTTTGCTGCCACGACCCCAACTTTTTTGCCTGAGCTTGCTTCTTCTCCCGGAAAAGCAACCGAGTCGCCATTTAAGCCGTCAACAATCACATCAATCTTCTTAAACTGGTATGGCCACTTGCTGTTATACCAAAACAGCCTCAGATCGAATTTGTTGTCCTCCGGAGAGAAACTCTGCAACAAGAGAACCCTATGATGAGTTTTCTTTCACTCGTGACAGTTTCAAAACATGTATCAGACAAGTTTCTGTTCAGTAGCAATACCTCAGCGTGGTAGGATGGTGTGAGGACAGTCATTTTGTGTCGATTAATGGAATAATACTTGAAGAAGTACTTCCCTTTCTCAGCTACTTCTACTGGGATTTAGGTTAGTTCCCCACCTGTAACACAGATTCTGCAGAATCATTACATAACAGTTTTAGTATCAATGTATAATGATTTGGTACATTTGTCTAAAGATTGGAACTCAAACCTTGAACATGAAAACTGGGCCACACCAAAATATCTTTCTCATTCTTCCGTAGACTAATAACTTTTCATATGTCATTCTCATTTCCACTTCATCAAGCTGTTTTCACAACACACGATATCTGAATAAACACTTCAGCTATAGAGATTAGGGGTGGATTTTTGAACCGAACCAAAATATTCTGTTAGTTCGGTTCAATTTAGCAGGAGTTTTTCAAAACTTTGATTTTCGGTTCAGTTTCAGCATTAGGTTACTTCAGCTTTCTTAAGAAAATCATATAACCAAACCATACCAAAAAATCCAAACCTAACTAACCAAATTTTCAACCGAACTATCTAACCGAATTTAACCGAACTTATCCAAAATTTTAACAAAATTAAACGAAAACATAACCGAACTCAAAAACTTCGGTAGGATTTAAAAAACCGAACTAAGCAAGTACTGAACTTTATTTTGGGTTAGTTTAGTAAGATTTATGTTGAACTAAACTAACCGAACTGAACTACCGGAAGACCTAATAGAGACTCACAAACAGTTTTGTTATTACTTGAAAATAGTCAGTTCGAATAGAATTTCAACAAAAGAAACCAACCTGGCAATCCAAGTAATTATTTTCATTTACTATAGAATTTCAACAAAAGAAACGAATATTCATTTTACCCTTTTGAGTTTTGTCTTGATAATTCATTGTTTGGTGGTTTTTCCTGACTTTTTAAATCAGATCCAGAAACAGAAGTGATGGCTTTATCACCAAAAACACTAATGGCAACCAACAGATTCATATGCGAGATCTGCAACAAAAGGTTTCAAAGAGACCACAACTTGCAGCTGCACTAGAGAGGACACAATCTACCATGGAAGCTTAAACAAAGATCAAAAAGACGTGATAAGTATTAGACATAAAGCATTCTACATAGGAAGTTGGAAAAGATCCTTATTAGTATATAAAATAGATAAGTTAATATATTTATAATCAATTAATTTTATTAATAAGGATTAAGGAAGAAAGTCTATGTCTGTCCTGAGCCAAGCTGTGTCCATCATCATCCATCAAGAGCTCTTGGTGACTTAACAGGAATCAAGAAGCATTTCTTCAGAAAACATGGTGAGAAAAAAAGGGAAATGTGGTAAGTGTTGGAAGAAGAATGCGGTGCAATCAGTTTGGAAGGCTCGTGCTAAGACTTGTGGCACTAAAAAATACAAATGCGAATGCGGAACTCTCTTTTCTAGGTAACATTAAACCAACATATGTAATTTCATATGTTTTTCTTATTTTATCAAAGATGCATTTGATGAAATTTGTGCATCTAATTTATTAATTTAGAGTCATATTTTTATCTACCATTAACAAGTTATAGTACAACTACTTAAACAATTAGTTAATATGATATATTTAATTATTTACTTTCATAATAAACCAGTTTTAAATTTGAATTTTATCTATATTATTAAAAGAGAAATACATATAGAAGTTGTCCCTAAGTTTTCAAAGTTATTTACACTAATATGCCACTAGAATTAAATTAAATTATCTATTTTAATGTTTATCTTTTCCAGTTAAATTAATGTGTTTTCTAAAATTATTTTTTACTAAACTTTCTCTATAAAATCAAGGCCAAAAGTTTTTTTTTCTAATACACTACGGTTAATGTGTTTGACGCTAACTGCAATATGCAGTATACAGATTTCTTTAATAAAATTCAAAGTGTATTTGTATAAAAACGAAAAAGGTAAATAATAATACTAACATATAAATTATACCGACCATTGTCTATTAGTGTAAACTAAAACCTTGAGAGTGCATATACCCTATATGTAAAATATTCAAACCATCTACACAAATTGATCGATGTAAACAGGGTCTCATCGGTCGATAGAGGTAGTGATCGTGTAGCTATGTTCCTAAAAACAAATAAAAACGAAAGTAATAAATAAAAATAAAACAAAACTAAGTAAGAAAATACCTAACAGTGTGTTGCCTCCCACTCAAGGCTTATTTAAAGTCATTTAACTTGACTATGGAGGTATGGTGGCTAGTGAGGTGGGTTGCATGTACTTGTTGGGAAACAAGTATCCTCCTTGTTTTGTGATTCATCAAACCATGAAGTTAAAAAGCTTCTTGTGGCTTTCTCGCTTCGGTTCATACTAGCTTTCAAACCATGCACTTCAGTTTGGATCCTTTCTAACCACTCCTCTAGGCTGGCAATGCTGTACTGATGATGCCCAAGCATGTTGTAGATGTGTTCTGCATTCAGCTGCGTGGTGTCGTGGTGTGGGGTCTCATTGGTCGATTCTGGAGGTTTCATATCGGTCGATGTGTTGTGGGCTTCATCGATCGATGGGGATGGGTCAGGTCGGCTGGCAAGCTGTCTTTGAATATCTTCTACCTCCTTCTGAATATCCTCCACTGTGCACTGTAATCCTTGAACGTCACTCTATACTGGGAACCAATACTCGTCTAGTAATCTGTAATCTTCGTCTCCACAAAATTCAATAGATCTGTAGATATCTCTTGTGGTTTCTTCAAGTTCTTCTCTGGTACAGTAGTCTGGTGCGCGTGTATCGATCGATGGACTGGGTGAGTCATCGATCGATAGCCTCTGTAAGTGACTCTCGATAGCCTCTGTAAGTGACTCTCGATAGGTTCATCAAAGGTTGTATCGATCGATGTTGTTGGTGCTGCATCGGTCGATGGTCGTCTCTGAGATTCAAGTTGTGCGCGCAATATGGTGACTTCTTCTTGTAGGGCTTCTCTTTCTTTTTGTGCTAAGTCATTGCTTGACATATTCCATAGTAGTTAACCTCGAAGTCTCGATATGACTTTCTCCTGTTCTAGGCCCAATCCTGCTTATTCCCAGTTGCGTTCACTGGTTCTCTCGTTCAGCATGTCGGTGACCTCTCTTCTGTGTAGAGCTTGCAATCTGGAACTCCTTTAGCATATTGTTCAGCATGCTCCGGTAAGCAGAAACAAGAGCGCCCAAATAGTGAGGCTTTTTTCAGTAGCTTCTCAATGTCTTCTTTGTAGACATGGATGATATCTCCGTTGACCTCTTTGGCATAACCAGCTTCATCTCTGTAGACACCAAATTCGTCTTTCTTTTCCCAGGAGAAACGACAAACTTCGTGTTTGAAAGCTCTCTTCCCAAACTCGCGTTGTATATCGGTCGATGCTCGTCGCCATGCATCGGTCGATGCTCGCTGAAATTGGTGCTGATCGTTAGGGTAGCAGGGTGGTTGGGTGGAAGGGTTGACTGGTCCATTAGCCATCTGAAGGATGTCTGCAATGTCTTCTTGGGATATCGGAATGATTCTTCCATCTAGTGCTCGTGCATGACCTTCTGGATCCCTGAAAATACCATATTCATCCGGAATTAGTGAAGTAAAATCGAAAGTATGTGTTTGTACCTCGGATGGTGTTGATGCTGTATCGATCGATGGTGGGGCTGGTGCATCGGTCGATCTGTTGAGGAACATGTCGGTCGATGGCTGGTGCTCCGTGTCGGTCGATACGGGTGCTTCAGGTCGGATCACGGATGGTAGTGGTGCTGTATCTACTGCAAAACTCTCATGATAACTGCTCGCCCAACTTCCAATCGAGTAATCTCCGTCTCGTGGTTCGTGTGGGACATAGACTTGTGCGCAGTTAGGTTCGTCGCTCGTTGATTCAAAACGCCGTTTGAGCGATCTGGGTTGGGGTATATCGGTCGATGGGGAAGGGTTTCCATCGATCAATGGTCTGAAGATGAACGATGGGAGGGGAAGTCTGGCTTCATCTTCTCGAAGAAATTTATATTCGGTGGCTCTTTCCTCTTCATAATCCACATCGTACTCCTCCTGAGTAGTGATGCTAGCTAGCTCGGGCATGTAATGATCGTTCGCCCAATCATTGGTGCCAAAATCGCCGTTGGGAAACTCTTCCTTGATCTTCTGGAATAGCGTATCGATCGATGACCATGTGTATTCATCGGTCGATTCTGGTCGGCTGGTATCGGTCGATGGTAAAAGACTGCCGTCAGTCGATACGTCTAGATCGGTTTCATACTCGGCCATGGAATCATACTCGTGGGCACAGAAACATGTTGCTACGAGTTCTGGGTTCTTCATTCTTGGAAACTTGATGACTGAAACATGATTGTAGTGGATGGTAGGGTTGATGAGTGTTAGACAGAGCTTGTTGGTTTTGAGATCACAAACGGCTCCAACTGTGGCTAAGAAGGCTCTTCTAAGTAGTAGAGAAGTCTTGAAGTTGAGCTTGTTGGCTAGAACATGGAAGTCTGTAGGAATTAGGGTTTCTCCAATCTGTACCTCAAGGTTTCTAACTATTCCTCCAGAGCTCTGCTGAGAATAATCCACAAAGATGAAGGATTCTTCACTAGGCTCGATCTTCAGACCTAGCTGGTCTGCCATAAGCTTGGGTAGGATGCTGACTCCAGATCATGTATCACATAGGGCACGAGGGAACTCAACACCTCTGATAGAACATGGTATTGTGAACTTCCATGGGTCGCTCTTCTTCTCCAGTGTGGTCTTCTTCTTAAGATTGTCTCTGACTTGATGAAACATCCTCCTTATGTCTTCTTCTGTCTCTCTTGTTTCTCTGCAAAACATCCACAATCTGTGTGAAAAGTAGGCTTCTTCAAAAGGTTTCTCTTTAGGTATTCTGAGAACTCTTTTTCTGAAGCTTGACAATTCTTTCTCATTAGCTTCCCTTTTATAAGGCTTTGCTATCTTCTCTTTCCTTTTTCTATGAACTCTTCCAGTAGTTTCCTTTTCAATCTCCATGGACTAAAAGATATATGTGGGTCTCTCCAAGATGGCTTTCTGAGAGCTTCTAGTAGTGTAATATTTCTCCCGGAATGTGTCAATACGTGCACCATCTATCTTGGGGAGTTGCACTCGGCGGTGGGGTACCGTGTATCGGGCGACACTAACTGGAGTGCGTCGGTCGATAGCATGGTCTTCATGTCGATCGATAGGAGGGTAATCATGTCGGTCGATGTCTTGCGGTTCGATCTTGACAGGGACGGGCGGATGTGGGTGAAGTGCTGCGAAAGCTTCGTGAGTCAGAGTCTGGACGGTACTGCACTCATACGGGTACTCATCTAAGTCCATCGATCGACAATCATCAAAGTCTATTGATCGATGTACATGGGATGGTATCGGTCGATGATCACGGGGTGATATCGATCAATAGTAGTCGCGAACGAAGTCTCTCTCATCATCAGATTTCTGAATCTCTTCTACTACCTCTTGCCAAAAATCATCATCCAGGATGGCATTGATGTTATTGTTGTTGGCAAGCTCCTGCTTCCTTTGGGCTTCTACTGTCTGAAACACCTGAGTCTCCAGCTTCTTCATATGGGTGTTTAAACCATCTAGCTCTTTTTGGAGAGTGTTGTAGACGGAGTCAATCTTCCCATTGAAGTCTGTCTAGAGTTTCTGCTGACTCTCAAGGACCTTGTCAAGCATCTCTTCCAGTTTAGTATCTTGGGTGGGTGGGTGTGGGTTGGAGTAGAATGAGTTTCCATAGCTCATGTTGTTGTTGGGGTTGCTGCTGCTGAAGGTGTTGAGCTTCTGTGAATTCTGATTGAAGTTGCTTCGCTGACCTGTGTAGTTTCTGTTTCCTCCTTGGTTACCAGACCTCTGAAAACCAGCTTCACTGACCCAGTTCACATCTTCTTCTATATAATCTTCACCTGTAGTCTCTGCATCCTCCACTGAACAGATCTGCTTGTTTATCAACTTCTGAATGGTATCCAGCTGTGCTTGTACTTCATTGATGTATTCCTTCCCAAGGAATGATGTAGCTTTTGTCTTCATGAAGTTCTTCGTGCTGTTGCTGGAAGCTAAATTATCAATTAGCTTCATAGCCTCTTGTGGATTCCTGGTGTTGAAGTTGCCTTCACTAGCTGTATCAAGAGCTCTTTGATAATCCAATGTGATGCCTCTGTAGAAAGTGCAAAGAGGTTGCACTTTGTTGAAACCGTGGATTGGGCAATCTCTTTGGTAGGACTTGAATCTGTTCCATGCATCTTTGAATGACTCTTCAGGATTCTGAGTGAATGTAGCAATCTTTTTCCTCCATTCTTCAGCACGTGACTCATCAAAGAAGTTACGCAGGAATGCGTTCTTGATGTCACTCCAGGTTGTGAGAGAACCTGGTGGTAGTTTTCTAAGCCACTGCAAAGCTTCTCTAGATAGAGAGTACTTGAAAAGCTTGCAGAGAAGATAGTCTTGAGGGACTCCATTGGCTTTTATGACGGTTATGAGATCCTCGAACCTCTCCAGATGGTCCATAGGGTGCTCATTGGACAACCCATAGAAGGGTATTTGTCCTACAAGAGTGTAGTACTGCGGCTTAAGCTCGAAATCTTCTCTCTGAATAACAGGAGGGCGGATGGCTGATCGGTTGGAATAGAACTGATCTGGACGGTTGTAGTCAGCCAAAGATCTAGCTTGGTTAGCCTCTTCTACAGGTTGAATGATGTATGTAGATGCAGTCTCTTGCTCAGGTATGATCTCCTTCTGAGCGTTCAGCTTTTGACATGCTGCATTACGCAGGTGACCATCTCGATCACGCAGGTCTCCATTCTTATCGGTAGTGAGAATAATAGGCGCTACCATGTCTCGCCGGTTAGTATCAATCGATGTAAGATGAGGTATATCGATCGATGTCGGATGAAAGGTATCGGTCGACGAACGGTTGTTGATGTCGAGCGATGTGGCGGTGAGAGTATCGGTCGACGTTGAAGGTGTCTCGGTCGACTGTGGTAGGCAAGTATCGGTCGACAGGGATGTGTTGATTTTGATCGATGAGGAGCGTAGGTCTTTGCGGATGCTACGTTCCAAGCCGTGAGGATCTTCTGAGTACAAAAGGTGTTTGTTCTTGTTGCTTCTAGTACTGCTGGGCATGTACCTGAAAAAGACAAGAAATTTTTTTTGGTGTCAGAAGATAATTAAACAATAAAAGAAAAATAACCTAGACCTAATCAGATTAAATCTAATGTTATCAAAGTTCCCCAGCAACGGCGCCTAATTTGATATCACTCAAATGTTTAACCCTAAGAAGTGAAATACTCTCTCAAATAAGAGGTTTAGTTGTAGTACTTAGGGATCGAATCCACAGGGAACTAAGGAACACAATAGATATAATCCTAAATGATTATGCTAAAATAGTAAAATTGCAGTTTTGTAAGCAATGGTAAGTTGCTTAAGAGAATGGATTTTAGGTTTGAAACAATAAAAGAAAATAGTTAGATTCAAGGTTGCTATTCTGATAATCAGGATTATAATGCTAAAGATGTTTTAATGAATTGCTTGTAAGATATATGAGAACTTCGATTCTTAGATAGATCTAATAGCAGTCGCTAAATAGACACATCCATTGATCTTATTACCAGCAATATCGACCGATGGTAAGATCCCCATGTCGAACGATATGAGTAGCCGTCGATCGATTACTCTATAGGAGTATCGATCGATATAGCATAAGATCGAATCGAAACTGTGTTCACCAAGATCATAGACCGACTCTCGCACAACCCTAGAGGATCTAAGCTCATGCCAAATGATTTCAGGACAATGATTAACAAGTTAAATCACATCCATGATCATACTCTAGATAGCTACTCTAGAGTAAGCATTAGGGTTCATTTGGATAATGAATATCAACAATTCAACATTCCATAGTTGGGGCTAATCCCTCATAACTATTTGAACCCTAAATCTAACAATGAAATCTACTCAGACATAGCTGAGAGATTCATAACAACAAGGTAGTAATAGAAACTCATAGATAGAAGATTGAACTTTTGGTTCTTGGAACAACAAATCTCTTTGTGAGTTTCTTATAAATCTAGAATTCTAAAACCTTTAAGAAATTAAGATGAAAAGAAATACTTTATTACAAAGGAACAAGAAAAGTATGCAAAGCTTTTCAAGTACAAAAGTAACTAGAACAATAGAAACATTCAAAAAGGCATAAAAAGTATGAAAAGCATGTCTAGCCAAACACAATGGCAAAAACTATAAATAAGAGTTCCATTAGGTTAAAAACTCGTCAGGGGCATTCTTGTAATATTGGGAAGACTTGGGCTTCAAGTCGGCCAAGTTGAACTTGTTTTCCACGCATCATATCCATCGATGGTACATGGTGTACATCGATCGATGGAGTATCTCGACTTCATCTTCAAAAGAAGCGTTATCGATCGATTAAACAGGGTTTGTATCGACCGATATGTATCCTCATTGTCTGATCTTCATAGTCATTTCGGAAAAATCTCCTTTAAGCTCCAAAAGGGCACCTAAATCATCACTTTACTCCAAAGTGCTCCTGAACTTGAAAACATACCTAATAGACTCCAAAACATATATAAAACTCATAAAAACATATCAATAACATGGCTAAAAACAGGTCAAAATCATGGTATATAACAAGTCATATAAGCCGGCGCCAAGTCGCAGACTTTAAATCAGAAAGAACCAGGTGGAAATCGCCCACAGGTAAAACGAGAGCCAATCAGTCATCGCACATCCTTAGAGCCGAAAGTAAACCTAGGTGTTGCCCTAAACCCAGTCCTACTGGTCCATTAACATCTCAAGACATGATACGAGATCTTAAGAACATGTCCCATCGTCTATATCTAATACGCTCATGAAACTTCGCGAAACTCCTAAACAATTCTGAACATCCTCGTTCAGTAAGAGCAAACGAATAAGACGATAAACTAAGAGTTAAGATACGAAGTGACTACTCGTATCTTTCCCTCGCACTTCGCAGAAGTATAAACTAAAACGCACAGAATTTCGATTATTCGTCGTATATATAAAGCCGCAAAAAACAGCTAGGACCAAAAGCCACCAACGGCCGATCCCAAATACATAGTTCACATGGCCTCACAAGACCATAACATACATAAGATCAAATACGGCCACACTCGACCTACATACATCAAAACCTTAAGATAAAAAATAAGGGAAACAATCCCAAACCACCCCGAGGATCAGAGGTCAAGGAAACCAGACATGGAGACTCCAAAGGAGCTCACTGGCTGATCCACCTCTCCTTCCTCAGCTGCGATGCCCTCCGCATCCCCGATACCAGCTCCGGCTTCTGCTGTATCCTCAGAAACCTCAATGGGTTCCCAAAGCTGTCGGATCCTCCCCTCGATCGGAGGAACCTGTGACTCAGCATGAACACACCCATCCATAAGGCCTGACATGATGGCAATATCGGGAAGAAAGGAGAAGTCAGCGTCCTGCGACTTCCAGAGGGAAGCGACTGAACCGTGGCACTCGCGGAAGTCGCCCACGTCATCCTGAGCTTCCTTAAAACCTTGGAATTCAGTGTTTAACAGGGCGGCTCTCCTTGCAAGTTCGGTGGCAACCTTTCTCCTCTCTCACCTCTCCGCACGGACGGGAGCTCGAGAATGGGATTCAGCCTGCGCACGGTATCGCTCCGCCACCTGGTTCTAGAACTCAATGAACTTCCTCTCGATCTCCTCGGACATGAAATGCGAAATGCGCGCTTCTCTGAAACCTCCGTCTAATGCCGAGTTAAAAACTCGCATCCCATGTACAAATCGAGGTTCAAAAACGGAAATAATAATCTAAAGATTTTTCGAAAGGATTCAGAGACCGAACCTCGTTGATCAACCGAGAGCCTTCCGTGACCACCTCTCTCCTCGATGCCTCGGTCAGAGACACTTGAATGGTAAAACCGGGAAGAAGGTTGCCAAAGAAGTCACTCGGAAGGGGAACTTCACTTGCTACGCTCCCGTTACCCGTTTCCCATCCAGGGATCGCAGGATCTTCCGAGACACTCCTGAAAGCAATCCCCTTATCATTCTGAGGCCTAACCCTCTCCCTTCGATCAGAAACGGCTTCGGGGCGTGGCTCGTCTGCGTCCGACACATGCAAGGGTACGAGGATGCCGCGCGATCGGTGGAGCTCCACTGCATTTCGGATCCTATCGAGGGTAAAGAAGTTCCAGAAGAACGGACCGCTGCGGAGAAAGTCCCGATTAGCATAGAGATCCCTGGGAGTATCCAGAAGGACCATGTTCGCTGCAAAAAAATATATACCAAAAGCAATCAGATATCTCTGAAATCAAGGAAAAAAAATGAGTTCGATCGTATTACCATGGTTCAAGTTCCATTCGCTACGGAACAGGTGAAGGCAGTTCACCTCTACGGACTCGCCGTCCACTCGAACTAAGAAGAAACTATCGAACCACCCCTTAGCGTTGGAAGTATGCCCCTGGATGATCGACATGTCTTTCTTGGGGGTGCATATGGAACGAGTATACATTCCCCTACTTCCGCGTCGCCCATAGCCCTTCAAAGTTATCAGAGCTAAGGTTCATCCCGAGCTCATAGCTTAAGATCAACACGCCAAAGTCATAAATAATATTTAGCTCAAAAGTAACATTTTTCTGCAATTTTTCATATATGTTATAAAAATTAATTTATATGTTTGTGTATACTAAATACATTTAGAAAAGTCATAAATAATATTTAGCTCAAAATTTCCGTTTATCAGTTCGTGTTGATCCATTTCATTCCATATTTCTTATAGCATATTTTTATCTTAGATTAACTTCATTATTAAATTCATAACAATAAGAACTCAATTATCTTATAAAATAGTAAATAACAAAGATCCACCTTACATAACATTAAGTTTATATATATATATATATAAACTATATCTGTAGATGAATTTTCAATCCAGAAAATTATATATTTTTTCGCCCTTCTTAAAACGCACCGTTTCGTAACATTTTTATATAATTAACTTCAGAAGATGTTAATAGTTATTATGATAATTCATATATGATATAATGCTTTTAAATAAGAAAATAAAACCATTATATTTATTTATATAAACTGATTATCGTTTATTATTTATGTACCTTATAAGTATAAAAAAATGCCAGTTTATATCTCTTTCTATAATTTCAACAATTAGTTACCATAAATTATTGTTTTTAATACTATGTAAAATATCTGGTAAGTGATATTAATTGGTTATAGAGTTAACTTTTCTTTTTAGATCTATTTGAATCAAAATTAAAAATCATCGACCAATCAAATTATAACAATTTTGTAAGAATTCACCTATGATCAGATCGACATGTAAGCAAAAATCACTAAAGGGAATTCTGAATTTAGATAAAATATAATGATTTTAAATAAGAATATAAAATAATTATATTTATTTATATAAATTGTTTATCGTTTATTATTTTATGTACTTTATAAATATAAAAAATGATCAATTTATATCTCTTTATATAGTTTTAACAATTAGTTACCATAAATCATTCTTTTTAATATTATGTAAAATATTTGGTAAGTGATATTAATTGGTTATAGACTTACCTTTTCTTTTCAGATCTAGTTGAAATAAATAAAAAAGTAAAGATCATTGACTAATCAAATTATAATATTTTGAAAGAATTCACATATGATCGACAAATAATCAAAAACATTAAACTGACTTCTCAATTAATATATAGTAGGCTACTAAATCTTTTTTGGTCTATATTATCCTGTTAGAACAATTTGTTTTTATCACTATGACAATTTTTTTTGTTTTTTTATCACATTCCATCATTTCTTATCTTATATTATTTATTGATTAAATCTATCTAAAATCATATTTTTACATTTAACATGATTTGCATATTTTTACAACATTTATTTTTAACATAGTGGACAATGTTAGAAAATATAAGTTTGTTACAAAAATTATATATGACTTTAAAATATTTCATTAGATTTTATATTTTCAGTTCTTGTATAGAGAATTATGAAATTTTAAAATAACTCTAAATTTAATATACTAACTAGATTTTGGACCGTCCTTTCAAAGCACGGGTATATTTTTGTTTTAATTTTTTTGTTAGAAAATTTAATTTTCATAGTTTTTTTTTCTTTTGTAAATTTATTTTTGTTTTTCTTGGTAATCATATCAGTGTATAAACTTAATCAAAATCTATTTTACAAAATAATAGAATTTAATACTTGATCTGGTATAGGATCTTTTTTGTAATTATATGCCTATATGTCCATTGCTTTGTAATCATATTTTTCTATTCAATATATTGATCCGTGCTTCAAGTGAGAGTATAATGTAGGTTGTAATTTTTTGTTTTTTGTGTAAATATGTAACATTTTTCTGCAATTTTCATATATGTTATAAAAATTAATTTATATGTTTGTGTATACTAAATACATTTAGAAAAGTCATAAATATTTAGCTCAAAAGTTCCGTTTATCAGTTCGTGTTGATCCATTTCATTCCATATTTCTTATAGCATATTTTTATGTTAGATTAACTTCATTATTAAATTCATAACAATAAGAACTCAATTATCTTATAAAATAGTAAATAACAAAGATCCATCTTACATAACATTAAGTTTATATATATATATATATATATATATATATATAAACTATATCTGTAGATGAAATTTTCAATCCAGAAAATTATATATTAATAGTTGATGGGAGAAAATTAATTTTTTTCACAACAACAAATGTTGCCGAGTTTTGGACTGACTCGGCATGAAGCAATGGTCGTTGGTGGGTAGTAAGGCGGTCCACACTTATTCTTGCAGTCTTGATAGCTCTTACACGGACCTTTGTAAACACAATCTGAACAACACATAGCATTCCCTCCTAAACCTGTTAATTACCATTGTTAAACAATAATTTAAAAACTAAACAAATATTAAAATATTATTTTTAGTTGTAGATGTGAATAGAACATAGAAACCTTATTACCTCTTGACTGTGAAGTCACTAGGAGAGAACATATAACAAGTATAACTACAGATTGAAGCTTTGATAATGCCATTTTATTCGTATGATGTAAAATTTCAGTATTCACTATTTGTTTTTTGGCTCTTGGTATGAAGGAAGTAAAAGAAAAATAACATGCCTATAAGTACACGAGAGAGCATGTGGATGAGACAATCTATTTGTTTATTGTCTTGAAATTTCTTTCTAAATTATTGGGTCAAATCTTGAAAAAGTTATATAAATATCAAAAGATTTTATATTATACACTTTTCAATTGTACCATGGATTTTAAATTAATATAATAATCATTGAGATTTCTATCTAAATGAATGGGTCCAATTTTTTAAAATAGTGATATAAATCTTTAAAACATTGTATATTATATACTGTACATACACTGCATGGATTTCAAATTAAAATAATAAAATAATGTAAAAATTTAATTAAAAAATCATTACTTTAGAGTTTATATTTAGAAGAAGTTTTATTTTATTAAAAATATTATATGTAGCATAAGTATTTTGAAAATATTAAAGATGAAATTACATATTTTAGATATGGATTATATTTTACTATATTAATTTGGGTTTCATCCAAATTGTGGTTAGTGTATTTAACTTAGCTTTAGAACAAATTCTTTCAATTTTATATAAAAATGTTTTCAAATAATATATTATTTTAATTAAGACAGCTATGAACAATTAAAGATTATAGGACACTTTTTTTTTACAATTTGTGCTCAGAACTATATTTTTTAATTATCTAATTATCAAATCTCTAAAGAATAATTTACTAATTTGTTTTGGTATAGTATTAATTTTTCTTATAAAAAACTTAATATAAATAAGATCTGGTATCAAACAAGTATTGTTCTCGAAATACTGAAAATGTTATAAGGTCCAAATTGCAAGAAAAATTCATTTCAAAAAAAATTATGCGCTTAATAATTTATAACTAGATCTTAATATGCGCAACCGCGTAGATGTTTGTTTTCAGTTTAAATTTTAACTAGATTTTGATCCACACTTAAAAAACGCGAGATTCTTTTTAAAAAAATATTTCTAACAGTCAAAGAATTGGTAATTATAAGATTATTTCTTTTGAAACTTTATAACCTAATACATTTATATGTTTGAATCTTAGAGTTTTCATATTCAATTCGAATCAGTGGGCAAACCTCTATATACGATGATCCAGGTATAATCAGGTTTGGATTAACTAAAATTCTACTTTTTAAAATAAGATTAAACCCTTTAAAAACTTAAAACCGCTATTAACCCTTCACTAACGCTGGTTGACCTGATAAAACGAAAATAAATCTGAACATATTATAGAAACAATTTAACTTCCTACATATTTTTAATTAGTACATGAAATTGAATACAATATTTGATATATGATTCTTTAAATATCAAAAAATTACTATGTCATTTTAAGAAAATGAAAAAATAGTGATAGAGAAAACCAAATTTTATTAGTATGAATTATTATTTTATTTTTATTACTGGTAATTTTTAATGTTAGAATAAAGATTGAGAAAACCAAAAAAATGGTTTTTTAATTTATATATTTAAAATTATTTTACAATTTTTATTTATTATTTAGTAACTTTTAACCAAATTTCTAATTAAAGTTTATATTTTTGCATTATCTTGTCTACCACTTCATTAAAACTAATCATAATTTAGATATTTTTATTTTTTCAAAAAAAGCTTTAATAAATCCTTTTTAATTAAATCTAGTTAACTAACTATATATGAGAAAACAATATCTATATATTTAAATAACATGATACTATTATATATACTTGATATTAATGTGAGATTCAATAGTTTTATTACATCAAAATAACATCTTCTTATTTTTATAATATTTTTAGAACTTTGGTATCTTACATTGTAAATTTTTTTTTCTTGAACACATGTAAAATTTTATTATACCGTAAAAATACTACCTATCAATTTTAGAACTTATCATTTAGCCTGTTTTTTTTAGTCAATTTATCTTCATGTTTCAAAATCACATAAAACTAATTAATTCACTAACATATGTATTTTGACAAACAAATGAAAATTAAGTACGTGGAATATAAAAAAACAAAAATACAATAAGCAAGTTTAATTATTCTTCACTTGTGTTCTTTAGTCTTCTTTCTCTTTTTCTCGTATTAATACAATGTCTCCAATTTTTAATTTTATACTATAATTAACCTTTTATTAATTAATATTATTTAAATGACTTCCATATAATTTTATTTGAATCAAAGCTATATGAATTATATTAATAGAGTATTAACTCCAATCTCGTATTAGTATAACATTCAGGTTTTTCAATGTTATATTACAATAAATTTCTTATTTATTGATATTATTTTTAAAAATAAACATATATTTTATTTTTTTTAAATATAAAAATATTTTAATCATTTTTGAAATTGATAACTCAACTATTCCATCAGTTAATATATAGGATGAGGAAATGATTTATATCTTTGATATTTAAATAGATTTTATAAAATAATTTATAAGCTCTTATAGATGACTTAGAAACTCTTATAACAAGTTAAAATATACAATAAGCTAAGATAAATAGTTTAATTAATATTTTTATAGATGATTTATAAAGCATATATAATTAACTTCTTTTTTTTTTTTGAAAGAATTTTAAATTTTATTCAAACAAAAAAAAAACATAGTTACACCAAAGGAGCATCAGCTATAGATTGGGACAAACCAATCCAAGAAAACAAGACCAAAAAGAGAACAAAAAACATCAAACACCTCTCCTCAATTTAACCATGTGGAACAAGTTAGAATTGGAAGGACCATACCATTATCCTCATTAAAACCTCATTAAAGAAAACCCAAATGGGACAAACCTTTGATGAAGAAAAAGAGTAATAATGTTATGGTCAGGAAGGTGTATAGATGCAAACCAACCAAACAAAGCAGGCTAAAACCACATTAGATTAACCAAGACCCTTTCCAAAACAACCAGAGGCTGCAGCAACAAAACCAACCAAAAGTCAGCTTCGCAGAACAAACATAACATTACAGGCTGGAACTTCATCACGAGGAAGAGACCAAATAAAAAACCCTCAAGGACAAGCACTCCCGCTTAGCTTCTACCAAACCAGATCGCCATTGCTTTCTCATACTTGTCTTCATTTTTATATCTCAGAGAGGTTATTCTATTCCTTACCAACTTATCCAATCTCACCAAAAGATAAGCCACAGGAAGAGCTGATTCACCAAGTTTCCGGACATTTCTCTCTTGCCAAATCGCATAAAGAGCAGCTTGGAAGCAGTATCTCCAAAGAAAAGTCACCACTCGCTCATGTAAACCGTTTATCAGAGTACTTAAAACCCGAGACCAAAGACATTGCACAGTACCCGCCAAGCCCTTACTTAAACCACACCAAACTTCCTTATAATAGGAGCACTCAAAAAAAAGATGATCACGGGTTTCAAGAACTTGTTTACAAAGCCAACAAGTTGTAACTGCTTGAGAATTCCAAATAAGCATCATGTCACCAGTAGCCAGCCTATTTTGAATGGCAAGCCAGACCAAGAAAGAAAACTTAGGAGTAGCATCACTGAACCAAACTCCTTTAGACCAGGGAACCTTTTGCTTCTTCTCTCTAATAATATTCCAAATCTGGGATGTAACAAACTTCGCTATGTAATCCCCATTTTCTCTCTTCTATAATCGAATATCATCAAGCTGATTGAGACCTCTATTTTTCAGAGTCACAATCTCATTTCCAATCTGTTGTAGTATAGGTACCATGCGCCTTCTTGCTCTGTGGCTTTGAATGACTCTTTCCACCATTGCATTAAGTGGAATACCCAGTTCTATACACCCACGCCCTGTTGTTAATTCAAAAAGAACTCCCAAAGATGACCAATTATCAAACCAAAACGAAGTATTAGAGCCACTGTTTACTTCAACCCTGGTTAGATGAACAGCCATATGCCTCATCTTCAACAGTTTCTTCCACATCCAGGATCCTAATGTAATCTTCTCTTTGACACTCCAATACGATCCTTTTCTTATAAGATACTTCCAAATCCACTTTATCCAAAGCGAAGATCTAGCAGACAAAACTCTCCAAACAAGCTTTAGACAAGAAACTTTGTTTGCTTCCAAGAGATTTCGCAGTCCCAAACCTCCCTCATCTCTTGGCTTACAAATGTCGAACCAAGCAACTTTAGCTTTCTGCGTAGAGAGAATAGGTCCCGACCATAGAAAGTCGGAGCAAATGCTATTAATCTCCTTGATGCATTGACTAGGAAGGCGAAAAGCAGACATCCAAAAATTTGTGATGCTGTAGATAACTGAACCTATAAGCTGAAGTCTCCCTGTAAAGGACAAATGTCTTGCAGTCCATGAAGATATGCAGGCTCTTATTGTACCAATCAGAGGGGAATATTCTTGGACATTCATCTTCTTAGTTAACAAAGGGAGACCGAGATACCTAACCGGGAGAGATCCAGCTTCAAAAGGAAATTGCTCCATAATGGAGGCACTATCCTCACTTTTCACCCCTGCTAAGAACAAAGTCGATTTCTCAAGGCTTATATTTAGACCTGAAATCTTCGCAAACTCCTGAAAAACTCCAAAAATCCCCTCAATCGACCTCTTCTTCCCATCAGAAAAAACTAGAACATCGTCAGCAAAACATATGTGAGTCAGCTTTAACTCCTCACAATACGTATGATAACCAATTCTTTTCTCCTCTGTTGCCCTATCAAGAAGCTTAGATAACACCTGCATACAAATCACAAAGAGATAGAGAGAGAGAGCACATCCCTGCCGCAACCCTCTTTTACTGTTGAAGTAGCCAGCCAGCTCTCCATTAATCTGGACAGAAAAAGAAGCCAGCTCTATACATCTCTTGATCCAGAGAATAAACTTTCCCGGAAAATTCAGAGCTTCCAAAACAGAAAGCAAAAATGACCACTGAACGGAGTCGAAAGCCTTCGAAATGTCTACCTTTACAGCACATCTCTCTGTGACCGAATCCTTATGATAACTCTTAACCAATTTTGAAGC